TTGTAAGTCTTTTGTTTTACTTAATGAAATACTGCAATTGTTCTTTATTTAATCATTGCCAGTTTATTCCTCCTAAGCAAGCCACCAGTAAAAGTCCTCTTCATTGAGACTGAAAGAACCAAAACACAGTCGTCTGATAATTGGTTGGCAATTAAATTTCTGTAAAGATTAATTGATTCTTGCTAGCACACTCATAATTACAAAAATAACATTCGAAAGCCAAAAAAGCCAATAATATTTAAATGGGTTTGTTTTATGTTACGAATAAAAAAATTTCGATTTTCATTTTTCATCATACCAAACTTCAAAAAATGCAAAAACAAACTCAACGTAACTTACAATTTGATCTTTACTCTCCCATGGTAATGTTAAGTTCTTGAATAAATGTGAGTAAAAAATGCAGATGGCCTCTAATATTTAGAGATCAAGGTTTATTCGAGCATTTCATAATGGTCTCCATGTGTATGATTTAATTGCCCAAAGATAGCAATTTGTTCATTCTGCAAAGACTTTTCATTGCATTTTTTATTAAATCATACTTTTGAAGTGCATAGTAATTGCTACTACATTTTAATCTAGAAAACGATTTTTATTTTTATTTTTATTTTTTTTTAGATTGAAAATTTTGAGCTTTATGCAAGTAAGTTACGATGTGTGTTTGGTTTTACTTTTTTGAATTCAGTTTTTTAAAATTTGAGTATTTTGTTTTTCGTATTTTTCTGTTTTTAGTAAATATTTTTAAAATTTTAAGTAATTTTCTTACTTTTTTAGATGCACCTTATTTAGGTATATCTAAACAATAAAATATTTGTGAAAAAATATTTAAAAAAATTAATAAATACACAAAAATACGAAAAATGCACCGACTTGTTGTATTTTTTTTTTAATTTGGTATTTAGTGTATTTTTTTAAAAAAATTTCACAAATATTATATTTTTTAAGTGTATTTATGTTAGGTGTGTCTAAAAATTAAAAAATATTTCTTAAAATATTAAAAAACGCATTGAAAATATTAAAATACGAAAAATAAAAAAGTAAAATTTTTTAAAAACTGTTTTTTAAAAACCAAAACCAAAACCAAACAAGCTCTTATTATTATTTCTTAATTTGAATGCTTCGAACGCACATTGAAGAGTACAACAAATTGAGATTATTGTGATTCGAGATTCCATGCACATCATATGAGATTTTGAGTGAGATCATAACTTGAATTTTATGATGTAAATCTTGTGTTGAGAATTTTGGGAGAGGAACTTGAAAATGCTTGCTAAAAATGGCGAAGGGCACAGAAGGAGGGGAATTGGTGTACAAATTAAACTTGGATAAGAGAAACAAAGTCCCTAACCACTATATTGTTTTATTTGTCATTTAGAAACTTCACAATGACCAGAATTCTGTGATATTGTTTATTCTGATATTGCTTTATCGCATCTAGAATTTATTGGTCTCAGTTTGTTTCAACAAATTTATTTGTATTTTATTTTTATTCTTTTAGAAAACACTTTCCTATGTTTAGTTGCGACCTTAAAACTAATTTACTAATGATGGTGGTATTAGTTATGGTGTTGGTAGTGGTGATAGACTGATGGAGGTGGTAGTGTTGGTGATGGTGGAGCAAAAGAGGTGGTGGTGGAGGTGGTTGTTGGAAATATGAGTTTATAGGCTTATTTTTTGGTAATTTTGAGCCCAAAAATAAGTGGGACCTACATGCCTTTCAAGGTGGGGCCAAGTAGTAACATGTTTCTTGTCGCAAGATAAGTCACACTTCAAAGTTGGTTTGTCAAAAACCATTTCCAAGTGAATGGAAAATTAACGTTATTTTCGGCTTCATGGAATTTGGAAGAGTTGAGGAAACTATGTGGGTTAGTCAATTTGGTTGTCCTACGTTGGAACAAGAAGAGAGTTTATATGAACTCTAGATTGGCAACCTTGGGTTAGGCCCCAAGGGATATCCAAGTTTTGTGAAGGAAAGAATTATGGACCAAGCATGGTTCAAATCAGATACAATACACGCATCCATCCAATCAAGCAAGCTAGGCTGGGTGTAGGTCAATTCAACCATTAATCTTTTAGGCAAACTTCATTTAAATTTTTTCCAAAATTTCTAATCGAAATTTTTCAATTTCAAATTTGTAAAATTCAAACTCTAACCAATGTGACCTTTCACACAAGTCTGAAATTCTCTTCTTTTTTCCAGTAGATTCAAACTGTTTTTAACAGATTTAATCTTACACCTGTTCAGTTCAAATTCGGGCCTGTTCGGACCTACCGAACAGTCACCACCTTACCTATAAATACAGGCCTCTCCAGTAGTCCAAAAGCAATTCAATTATTTTTTCCTTCTCAATTTATTTTCTCTCTTCTTGCATTATTCTTCATATTAGTTCTTAGAGAGATTTCTGAGAGTGCAGAACACAGGTTCTGGTTTGCCGAACATATTGTTTATAATGCTACTACAATCTGTGTAAAATCATTGTATCCTGAGAAGTAGACGCTGTTATTTTGCAAACACCTAAGCGGAGCGAATTTGTCTTAAGAACAGAATGTTACATACTTGACTTGATCATCTTTGTTCGTAATCTGTTTCAGTAAGTAATTTAGTGGTGGTTTGGGATAATCTAAATAAGTGTACTTTTTGACTTTTTATGAAATATGGGTTGGGTATGGGCTGAGTTTGAAGTGACGTGGTAGAGAGGTGATGTAATTTAAATAGGATGGTGTGACTTACATATGACAATGACTTTTTGACTTTTTTAGATTATGACAAACAAGACCTTAGTTTAGTTGTTTGATTTGTTTCAAGTTATTTTATTATATACAGAAGATTGTTTCTACAATGGTAAAGGTGATGGAGGTGGTTGTAGCGGAGTGACGTAGGTAAGATTTTAGTTTATAAAATATTTTTCACCTTTTAAAAGGTGGAAAACATTTTTTGTACAAACTACTTGTTTTCCATTGACTAAAAAAAACATTTTCCATTCGTTTTTGTGTTCTATCGTACAAAATACTAGAAAATGCTAAACACATTCCTGAAACAAACGAAGCGTTAGCATGTGAATATTTTCTTTCAAATACTGGATTTTGGCATATTATAATGTCTCTATGTTTCTCTCACCGTATTGGTTCTCTCATATGCTTTGAAGCTTAAGAGAAAAAGGGAGGGAATAGAAAAGCAAAGGAAGAAAGAAAAGAGGAAGCAAAAGAAAGCGCATAAAGCATATATCGGGCACAATATCAATGATGATTTCTGAGCCTCTACGACTCTTCTGATGGTTACCCAGAACATCAAGAGGCATTTGCCGATCTCTCCCAGTGGTTGCAGTAACCACGGCGTGTTTCTTTAGTCCCTAGCTTTGATAGTAGTTTTGCTAGTTGAGTTTGCTCTCCTGTATCAGATACTAAAAAATCATGGTTCCTTGTTTAATTGTCAAAAGGAAGCATTGTCAAAATTATTTTCCTGCTACAAAAGAATAGGAATTCGGGAGCGTTATTTGGTTGATTGCTTCACTCCATCTACAATAGTTTTTATTTATTTATTTATAAAGATATTGTTCATTGGTAATTTAATTTAGGGTGAAAATAGAGTTACTCGTAATATGTATTGGAATTTGGATGCTTCTTGCAAAGTTTGCAGATAAATATGGATGCTGCAATATCATTTTGCTGCTATTTCTTGCTGCATTTTAGAACAATTCTTACTGTGGCTTTTCTTTCAGTTTAGACATGAAATGTGCAGATTATCATGGCTAAGAAATTTGTTGCTTATTCCTCTAATTTTTATTTTTGGGGGTAGATAATAAAGAATTTTGTAGAAGATATAACAGAATGTACCGCAACAATATAGGTAGGGGTTGGCGTCGTGTCGTGTTGGATCTTATATGTATCGTGTCATCTCGGGTTGGTGTCGTCATTAACTCAACACTAACCCAACCCGTTTATTATTTCGTGTTATGTCAATTTTGGCCTATATTTGGTTCGTGTTGTGTTAATGTGTCGTGTCAAAAATTTTCACTATTAACTAAAAAGGCCTCGTTTGGGAACATGCTAATTTAGTAATTTTTTAGCTATTTGGCTAAAATATGAACTAAAAAAAACTAGTATGTTTGGGATGACTTTTTGACTTTTTACGAAAAGATGTGCAAAAAGTAGAGAGAAAACAGAATCTGACTTTTTGGTATGAGTTGTTGGCTTTTTGGCTAATTAGTAACTTTTTGACTTTTTGGCTAAAATGAAGGGTTCCCAATAAATGTATGAAAAAATTTTGATTTTTTTTTTACAAGTTAAACTTAATGAAACTAATCTCTATTAAATGAAATTATTTATAAAAATATTTGATTTAAACTTATTTTGATTTTCTTAATTTATAAAAATTATATTTTATTATTATATTTTTTACTAGATTAACTCAAATAATAGGAAAAAAATACATTATTAAAAGCAAAAAAAAAAAGAAAAAGGAACTTATATTAAACTTAAAATCGTATGTTACATATTTTTTAATAAATTGGATGTAATTATATAAAAGATTAAAAAATGTCATGATGATCTTTAGTGGAAATAATATTAAAATGTGTAACTACGTGGTTGTTTAGGGTGTACTACAAAAGTGCACTTATTTATCTTTTTATCTTTTTTGTATTACATCATCTCTCTATTTTTTTGTACATTTTTTCGTAAAAAGTCAAAAAATATATTCTTTAGATCCAAAACAATTCCTAAATCTTCATTATATGAGTTATCTTTTTCAATTTCGTATTATACAGATTTGACCCAATCTGTTTAATATTCGTGTTATCGAGTCGTGTTATATACGCGTTCGTGTTAGGAAACAATCAACCCTAACCTGCTAGCTTTGTGTACCGTTTGAGTTGTATTATCGTGTTTTGGCGCAAAACGGTTTTTGAAAAATGTTTTTCTTATTTTCTAGCGTTTTGGTATAACAAAATACAGAAGTTAACATAAAACTTCTTTTTTTTTTTGGTAATCAACAGAAAACAAACCTTTCGAGCACCTCCACCACCCTACCTCCATTGTTGCTATCGCTGCCACCACCATTGCCGATCCCACCTTCACCACCCCACCACCACCAGTACCATTGCCGCTGCCATCATGACCAATGCCACTAACATTAATACAACCACTAGCACATTAGTTTTGAGGTCCAACCAAACATTGGAAAACAAGTTTTACAAAAATATTTTCTGAAAAATGTCTTCCATATGTTTTATGCCAAAACAAACAGAGCATATATCAGGCATAAAAAAAAATAAAAAACCACCAACATTCCTAAACACTTCCAGCAAAACTACCAATCTCTGTTGTTGAATTAAAAGTATCGGTTAATTCTTAATTATTGTGAGGATAAATACAATAATATGTTTTTAATATTTTATTTAGTTATTTGATAAGAAGAACAAACTGAGTTAAAAGTAATAAAATTTATCAAATTAGCGTATCTTGATTATATCATGCATGTCTCATACAACTACATAGAAAGTGAAGATTAACAAGTGAATATAACAATAGTAGAATTAAATATCAATAAACAAATAAACAAGTAAACTTAACATATAACATTTTTGACTAGTGTAAAAGGAAAAAGCACATGTCCAAATTAATGTGAATCATTTTGCTATTGTGATATAAACATATTGGACTTGATATTGCAACAAAATATTTGTAAAACCTATTGAAATTTAAGAAATAAACTAACTAATGACTTAAATTAATTCACAATTCTTAAAATTAGTATTTTACATTATAAAATTACAGTGTAGTATTTTACATTCTCAACATTCTTAAGTTGATGTGTTACTCACTATTAATAATTTTACAAACGTATCTTAACACATGTATCCTACTTTTATAAGTTTTGTTGTATCACCGTATCTTTATCCGTATCCGTATCCGTATCATATTTGTATCTGTGCTTCCTAGTTTGCACCAGAAGAATTATAGTCCACAACCAGGGAACTCCTTCGGTCCAGCATTCTGGTTCCTCAAACACTGCAGATTTTCAAAGTCACAACCACCGAAGCCTTGACCATTCATTGATACATCTTCCCCACTTTTTCTTTCCACCCCCTGTTGAAAGCAGTAGACCTGATCATCACACTGCACATCACATGGATTTATCACGTAAACACAAGACATGTTTGGATTAGCAAGGTTTTGACACATATCAGCATTCTTGGAAGGGTTGTGATAAGGAAAAGATCCAATCTCCCCATCAATCCTCCCTCGGATGTCCACAAGCAAACACTTGAGTCTTGCAACCTCGGCCTCCAATGCAGCTTGACCTAGCAATCTCTTCATCAATTGCTGAATAACAGCCTTCAATCCCACAACTTCATCCTCCAATGATGCAGTGCGAGCCTTCTTCTTCTCGCGATACTTGCGAACCGCTTCACGATTACCTGTTGGACATCTGTTTGATTTCTTTTCCAAGCACTCTGCAATATCACCAGTGGAAACCTTGTCTTGAGTTGCGGCAGGCACAATTTTGGTGTGCACATGACGACAAGTGTGTGAATGAGAGGAATCAAGGCGTGGTGGGTTGCAAATGTGGGTATGAGTGCATGTTTCCCTCTGAAAGTCATTGAGAAAGCTCTCCCAAGAGGAAGTTTTTGGGAGTTCACCAATGTTTGGACTTGAACACACCTCTTGGTTTGAAAAATCTATCTCTCCATCCTCCATCGTGATGAAGCAAAGAAACCAGAATCTAACGGCAGTGACAGGTTAAAAATTTTGAGCTGTACCCAGAAAACAATTTGCCGTGTTTTTCTTTGTGATTTCAAGTTGGGTGTTGAAAATCTCGTTTACCCGAAACCCTAGGGAAAGCAGAGACAACAAAACAAGGCAACAATCACGATTTTGAATTCATAGCCCAGATCAGAAGCTGTGTTTGAAAGGAATTAATTTACGCAACTTGAACAATTGAAGATTTTATCAAGTGGGTCAGATAACAAGTCAATTTTATCCAATTATGAACTACATAAACACTGAACATTCAAGCATAAAAGTCACAACCCATATTGATCGATGCAATCGCAGATGTAAAAAGAATGGAACTTGAATACTTACTGTAGAGATATCGAAATTTCAAGTCAAATTTCCAGTGATTGAGTTCCTCCCAAAACTATTTCAAATTTATCTCTATTCTCAAAATTATTTCAAATCAAACTATTACCAAACTTACATTAATTAAACCAAATATATTTAAAATTCATATATTTCCAAAACCATTTCAAATCAAACTATTACCAAACTTATATTAATTAAAGAAAAATTTAGCCAAAACCCGTCTATTGAACCATTGTTTTGTGAAAATGACAGTCCAATTTATTTGCATCATAAATCTCCTACGTAGGAGACGCATAATTGAATAAAGATAAAGTAAAATATAATTTTTTTTGAGACAATATTGTCAGTGTAACATGTTACTAGTCTACATCAATTTTGATGATAATAATAATAATATTATTATTATTTTCAAGAATTTCATCGTCATCATGGATTTTATTTGATAGATCTTAATGAAAAAAATTTAAATGTACTAATTTTATTAAAAATCGATATCTAAATAAAAAATTATATTATTTAAAAATTTAATAATTTGATAATAATGGGATATGTTGAATTTTCAATAAAAACTTATTAAAATTTTATTGTGAGAGTGTTTTGACCAATCCCCTTAATTAAACCAAATATCTATGTTAAAGTATGTGATATGTTATACTTTTAAGTTAATATATATTTTTTTTGGTTTGAAACTTCGTAAAAAAATTATTTATCAATTATGTAAAAATTTAAAACAAAATGAATTTATATTTTGAATTAAAAAAAAATATTTTTGAAAATAGTGAAGAAAATGTGTTAAATTTTAATTTGGACGACCAGTGTTGAATGATTAAATGATTCTTAAAACTTTGTTTGATTTTGATGTATTCAAAAATAGTTTTTGAGTTTTTAATTTGTATTATTTTATTTATAGTGAAATTTTTTAATATACTGGAAATTTTTTTTATTTTTATTTTTTAGATACAATCTAATCTAGATATCCTTAAGATAAAAGAAATGTGAAGAAATCTTTAAGAAATTTAATAAATACAAAAAAAAAAATTATGAAAATGCATTAAAAAAAAATTTGGGTATATTTGTTTAATATTTAGTGATTTTTTTAAAAAAAAAACCATAAATTTTATATGTTTTAAGTGTATTTAGATTTAGTGGATCTAAAAACTGAAAAATATTAATTAAAATATTTAAAAGTTCATTACAAACAACAAGATACGGATTGAAAATAAAAAATTATTTTTAAAAACTTCAAAAATAAAAATTTTACTAAAATATAAAAAAATACATTTAGATTATGTGCATCTAAAAAAAAAAAATTAACCTAAATATGAAAAAGGTTTACTAAAGACAACAAAAACACGAAAAACAAAAAACTCAAAAATTAGTTTTTAAACTCAAAACCAAAAAGGTTTTCAAATATCTAAAAACTATTTTCAAAATATAAAATCAAACTATTTTTTAAATTTTGTAACTCTTTTCAAAAGTTTTTTTTTTTTTTTTGATAACTCAGGTATCCCCACAGCCGAAGCATGGGATTAATCCTGAGGGCCCTGAAGTTAACGACCGGACAAACCTCCAGTGGCCCGCACAGTAGCCCGTGATGGGATTAATCCTGAAGGCTGTGAAGTTAACGACCGGACAAACCTCCAGTGGCCCGCACAGTAACCCATGGGGAGTGGGATTCGAACTTGGGACCTCCAACTCTTTTCAAAAATTATCTTTCAAAATTGATTCTGAAAACCAAATCACATGGATCCTCAATCTAAATACACTAAAGACGTAGAACACATTTTTTTCACTATTTTCAAAAACATTTTTTTATTAATTCAAAATACAAATTAATTTGTTTTAAATTTTTATACGAATTTGTAAATAACTTATTTACAAAATTTCATAAAAATAAATTCGATTAACTTGAAAGTATGATGTACCACATACTTTACCACAAATATAACTTTGGGAATAAAGATAAATTTAAAATAGATTTAAAGTAGTTTTGCGAATAGAGATACATTTAGAATATATTTGAAATAGTTTAGAGAATAGAGATAAATTTAGAATAGATTTGAAATAATTTTGGAAAGGGTCTGGTTCCCTCCAGTCCCAAATTCTTAAATTATTTTTTTTTACTAAAACATGAAAGTACAAAAAAAAAAAAAAAAACAAAACTAATTTTTTATAAGGTAAGTTAAAATTTTAAAACCAAATAAGGCACAGTAAAATTATAAATTTAGATTTAATTATTCACAAAATAATTAAAAATTATCATTTTATTATACAAATTTAATTTTCACAGTACAATCACCACCCAAAAAAACTAGGTGGTTTTGTCTGGGGACTTTTTTAACAGGGTATGGAACTTGAATACTTACCATAGAGATCCTGTAAGGAAGTGAATAGCGCGATGTTTGAAGTCCACGAAATATCATCAATTTGACTTCTGAAACCCTAGAAAACGGTGTCGAGGATAAAAAGAGATTGACCCTAAAAAGGGTAGATGAAAGAAGCCCCCACTTCAACTTCAGTGGAGGAAGAGAAACGGACGAACCACACGAGTCATATGATGAGAGATTCCATAGATACAGTGATTCTGCTTTTTGAAGGTTAAAATGAAACAAGAGAGAAATGTACAGCGACTCAATTCGAGTAATTGGGGAAAGTATATATATATATATATATATAGAGAGAGAGAGAGAGAGAGAGAGAGAAGAAGTGTTAGTCAAACAAGCAACAGGAGATTCCAAGAAAATGGTGAGGGAGAGGGAGAAAGAAACATTTAAGAATATTCTAATAATGTACCAATGTGGTTCCTCAAGAGCATCTCCAACGGTGTACCAAATGTTTCATCAAATCTGAGTCAAAAATAGGTCATTTTTTTATTTTGATACTTCGCGCTCCAACGGTTCAACATCAAATCCGTTTCATCAAATTTGTGCTGGGCGACCGGTTGGTTGACCGGCCGGTCGACCAACCGGTCAACCGGTAACGGCAAAAATTTTTTTTTTTTTTTTTTTTTTTACCGGTTTGAACCTTTTTTTTTGAACTTTTTCAACTTTTGGTGGTCGACCGGGTGGTCAACCGGCCGGTCGACCGGGTGGTCGACCACCTAGGCAAAAATTTTTTTTTTTTTTTTTTTGACTGGTTTCAACCTTTTTGTGAACTGTCTAAACTTTCTCTGGGGCGACCGGTTGGTTAACCGGTTGGTCAACCGGATGGTCGACCCGTTCGTCTCATCCCAACGGTTAGGAACAGTGTTTTGGTGAAATGCTTCGCCTGCACTCAGTTTGGTACCATTTTTGCTGAATTCTGGATTTGATATCGATTTGGTGAAAACGTTGGAGCTTAAAAAAGTGGCTTTTTCACCAAATTTTAAATTTGATGCCAGGTTTGGTTCACCGTTGGAGATGGTCTAACAAGATAAGACTTACATCACATCACATACATAAGCCAAAATTTATTTTTTTAAGTAATGAATTTATTATTTTATTTTTTTTAAATTTAAAATAAATAGAATTATTTTTCCAACATTTTACATTACTTATTTATATATATATAAAAAAATTATTATTTTATTTTTTTTCAATTGTATATTATTCTTAAATTTTAATTTTTATCTTTGAGTACCTTTAGTTGATGCATATTTAAAAAAACGAGGGTTAATATTTCTTACATGATTAAAAAAATTAAAAATTAAAAATAGAATTAGAAAAAATTTATCACAATAAATTCAAAGTAATTAATAGGAAATGAAAGATCAAGAAATTATTTGAGAATAATAAATAATTCAAACAATTTATCATTTCTTACGCCTAAAATTAAAATTAATCTTTACTTGAAGGGAGAAATTATTTGAAAATAATAAAATACTCAATTAAATTGTTATGTATAATACTTAAAATCTATTTCTCCATATTTATTTCTCTCATTTAAACTATTTTTATTAAATTAAATCTTAAAATTTATTTCTCACCTTTACTCAACGCTATTGCTATCACCACCACCATCACCATTACCACCACTATCACAATTTAAAAATTAAATATACAATTTCAAAATAATAAATTTTAAATTTGATCTTATACATATTTAAAAACTTATTTTTAGTTCAACACTTAAATTTTTAACAAACAATTTTTCAACTTAAAAAATTCAGCATTTAGTTTTCAATACTTAATTTTCAGTCTTCAATTTTCAATTTTATCAAACACCACCTTAGTTCATCACTTAATTTTTATCAAACAAATTTTCAACTTAAAATATCCAACATTAAGTTTTCAGTACTTAATTTTTAGCCCTCAGCTTTCAGTTTATTAAACAACACCTAAAGAAGCCTCTAGATAAACGAGGACTTTAATTTGAATAATGATAATTGCTAGAGAAAATTCTATTAATTATCTACATAAGGTGTGTATCATATGTAAATTATGTTATTTGTGTGTTTGATTATAACAAATGACATAACTCAATACTACCGGAGTCATAAGTACAAAAAAAGAGAGGTTAAATTTATTTAATCTCTTTGTGGTTTGGGGCTGAAACATTGTACCCCTCTATCGTTCAAATATAACTAAAAAGCCTTCATATGATTTTGGACTAAAGTATTACCGTTAGTTTTTCCATCCAAATTAACGACAGGTATATTACCCACATTATTTTTTAGAGTGGGTTTTGTTTTGTGAAAAATTAGAATGAAATTAATACACAAAAGGACAATTTTACCCTCATTTTCTCCAAACTTAGAATTAGATTAATATATTAATTAAAATAAAATATAATTAATAATTGATCTAAAATATAAAATATAATTAAGAATTGATTTGAAGTATGAAAATAAATCAATCTAAAATTTAATTAAATTAAAATTAGACTAACATGTCAGAAATTATAATAAATTACGAATTTAAGATTAATTGTGATATAAAATATAATTAAAGTAAAATTAGATTAAAAAATAGTAATTACAATAAATAGTTCAATATTTAGAATAAATTGTTATCTAAAATATAATTAAATTAAAATAAAAATAAAAATAAAAATTTAAGAATTACAATAAATAATTAAGAATTTATAATTAATTGTGATTTAATTGAATTAATATTAGTTATTATAAATTATGTGTATAAGAGATAAGAAAGAAAGAAAATAACAAAAAATATAAGGTTTGAGGGTATCATAATCATTTTACATTTATACTTAACGGTATTAATGGTTATATTTTAGTCTAAAATCACATGAAAACATATGACTATTTTTAAAAGATAGGAATAAAATGCTATCAAGCTGTACTACTAGGAAGTAAAATAAATTTTGCCAAAAAAAAAAAAAAAAAATTGTAACCAAACAACAAATGAGATATATATCTTAAAATTTTCAGAAATATTGTGTATATATGGCTTATCATACCACGTGGCTTGATTGGAATAGATTAAATTGCGTGAGATAGCTGACGACGATTTTTCTCCCTTTTAACCCATATTTAAGTCCCCTCTTAAAAAAAAAAAAAAAAAAAAAAACCACATTTCTGTGTCATGGGAGCCCTATATACTAATATATTGCACAACAACGGGATCCAAGCCATTATGTCGTCATATGTTGGTATTAGCGGGTGTCATATATAATTTTGATAAGTATAAAAATAAAAAATAAAGAAATTAATATCATGTGTTATTCAAATGATAAAAGTGTTCTTAATAAAATTTTAGATTTTGAATTCAAATCCTACCCATACTTTTAAAAAATATTTTTTTATGAGTAATGCTAGCGATTTCAAAAATTTTAACAAAATTTTTGCCAAATATCTGGTAAAATTTTTAAAATTTTTATTTTTTTATTTAGAATAAAAAAATTTACTACGTGACAAAATGAGAAGCAACTACACTCTTGATCACCAAGTCAGTATTCACATATATAATAGTATGAATATAGAGCCAACCAATTGTCATATTTATTGATAGCGATGGTTTAGTATTAAAAAATTCGATAAGCTGGAATGACCACACTTAAAAAAAAAAAAAAATTTGTATTATATGCAGAGGTGTAATTTCGGTCTGACCCACCACGGGCCGTGCGGGCTTTTGTCTTTTTTTGGGTTGGGTTGGGGTGGGCTAGTTTGCGCGCAAAAAGTGGGATTTAGGCTCAGACCCACTTAGATTAACGCCTAGGGCTAGATTGGTGGGCTTGGGCTCGGGCCGCGGGCTAGACTCGGTGAGTCTTTTTTCTTACAAAAAAATAAATGATAAATATATGATATATGTAGATTATTTATGAGAGATAAAAAATAAAAGAAAAATTATACTATGATATTTTAGTTAAGATTAATGAGATATTTGGTTATGTTTCATATGGTAATATTTAAATTTAATTATGTATGAATTATGTTTTTTTAGTTATGACTTAAAAAAGTATAAAATTATGTAATTTTGTTCTTCTGAAATGAATAATTTATATATATATATATCAAAATGAAACTTTCAATATTATAATATTATATTAAATAGATAACATTTATTAATTTTTATTTCAAAATAAAATAAAATATTACAAAAATTTATATCATTAAATAAAATAAATGTAAATTATTGATGATGGTAGAGCAATTGCGTCACTATAGGTCAAGTACATCTTAACTAGGTTGGCACCTATTAGTTTACCAATCATTTGCATTATACTTCACCTCAATAATTTAATACAAAAAAAAAAAAATAATGAAATGAAATAGTGAAAAACAAATTATTGATCAGTTATCGAAGAAGGTAGACAATTCACTTACGTTACCCGATGATATGTCAAGCAAATCGCTTTGAATTATCTCATTTTCACTCTAATTTTGTCTTCTCATAAATGCATACATATGATCTTTGGATATCATCAGTGCCTTAACTATTTGGGGTGAAAGTTTGCTGTGGTAATCACTCAGCGCCCATCCACTTGCACCAAAAGCTGTTTTAGAAACAATTATAGAAATATGAATGGTTAGTATATCACGGGCCATCTGTGAAAGCACATGCCGCATATGTTCATTTTGTTTCCACCAATCTAAAACATCAAAATCTTCACTATCATGCACTAATGGGATATCCAAATAACATTGAAATTCAAAACTACTTATGCTTGTATGTTAAGATATTTTTCAATTTTTATTGTTGAAAAAATACTTAATCTTCTGCCTCGAGATAAGGCTGGTGTAGAAAAAATTATTTGCAATTGCAGCTGCCCTATATTCTTTAAATAATTTTTTGTTTGTTTTCATAATAGGGGAAAATTATTCTTGGTCAGAAAAAATATGTTTTAAAAATTCTTATAAACCAATTTCTTTACACCTAGGATCAATTATGATGGCTAACCTAAAAGATGAGGCAGTGGATCAAAATATTTATCAAAATTTTCTTTTATTGCAGTAATAATGGTTACATAATATTTGTTACCCATATATTTATTAGAAATGGTTTTGAAGTTTTGGAAAAATCTGATTTTTCCTTAAACTTTGGTCTATTTTTTAGGTGGGACCCATGCACTGAATTTCACGAGTCAAGGTGGCAACGCATTTTATGCCGTGCTGTGATTCACGTGGTATATTTGGTTGTTCAAAACCATTATCGTGTGAATGAGAAATTGAAGCCAAAGTGTGCTCCATGGAAATGGAGTTTTGGTGGAAAATCCTTGAAGGTTTGAATAAAGGCTTGCCCTACATTGGTTTTGTGGGAAGAA